GCCAGTGCAGACGCAGTGCGGGCTCCCGGGAGACCCCGAAGCCGATCTGACGCTGCAGCTGCCGCGTCACATCCCACGAGCCCGACTCCGTCGGGGACAGCCTGAGCAGGGCCCGATGCAGGCGGGAGGCTGCGGGGAGCCCCTTAGTCAGGTTGGCCCAGGGGATGCCCAGGTGCAGGTGCAGGTGGCCGCCTGGTCCAAGTCTCACTGTGGGAGAGAGAGGAAGGCCAGTCACCCACGGGCCTACTGTGTGCCGGGCGTGAGGGTGCCCATTTCCTCCCACAGGTCAGGTTGGATCCCACCCCAGGGCCATTGCATAAACCCCTTCCTCCACCAGCCACACTCTCCCTGAATCCCTCCAACCTGCCTAAAATAGGCACCACCCTATTTTGTTTGGTAGGGATTTGTCTGCCGGATCACCACGGTGCATGGCACGCAGTAGGTGCTTAGTCAAATGCTGATGCTGCCTCCTCCTGGCAGTCAAAAACATTTTCATTGAAGACCTACTAAGCGCCTGGGGCTAGGGTTTCAGCAACCAAGCACTGTTTTCAACTCCTTGGGTCTCAGTTTCCCATCTGAGAAATGAAGGGTACTAGACTCCCTGGGATTTACAGATCCCCCAGGCTGGTGCAGGTGTTGGGGCTACTACAGAGACTGGCGTTTGAGTTGCTGCATGAGCACCACCGGTTTGTTAGACTAAAAGGGTGAGAGGTTTACCTGGAGTCTCACAGCACCAGTGGGATTAGGGCGGGATAAAATCACCTCTCCCCAGCCCCTCCTGGTTCCTAGCGCAGGCCAGATCTGCCCTCTCCACCTCCCGGAGTCTCCTCGGAAAATACTCCCCTCCTTTCAGGGCACCTGGCACATGCCACTTCAGCAGTGCCTGGCAGCGAGATTGCATCAGATTCAGAACCAGTCCCGGTCGGTTCTTCCCCTCTTTGTGCAGGAAGTCCTGCCTGCTCCCCTTCCCGTCCCCCGCCCTGCCCCTGCATCCACCCTCTAGGATCCCACCCACCCTCAACCCCAGCTACATTCAAGGACAGGGACCACGCACCCTGCCCGACCTCATCTCAGGGCTCTCCAGGCTAGGTGAGCCTTCAGGAGAGTCGCTGGCTTCTCTCGGCCTCAGTTTCCCCATCTGCTATCCCAGGAGATGTGATTCTCCTCTCCCACGTTGGCTAAGCTTGTCCTGAAGCAAACAGGAACGCTAGCTCCCCAAGTCAGCCCCAAGGAGGGACCTGTTTGTCCGGCTCACAGATGGGGAAACTGAGGCCCGGCGTCATGCTCTATAACTCAGAAACACTGGTTGATAGAAGCTGCTTGGGGTTAGGGGGGGTTGTATTTGAGATTTCACTCACGCTTTGGGGTGAGTATCTGGACGTGAGAGGCAGGGATGAGGTCAGGGTTCGAGTCTTCCCACGTCTGGTTTGCTCGAAGCCTGGTCAGCAAATCTTCGTAGCGTTTCCTCAACTCCTGGATTCTGGAGATATTCGGACCGGAGTGTGCGTGTGAGGGTCCCGGGAAGACCGGGAGGTGCTCCTGGGCAAGAGATAGGGCGCCTCCCCACGGCAGCCAGGAGAGCGTCAGCAGCATCAACAGCATCGCAGGCAGCGCGGTGTCGTGGGGCCCTGCCCGGGCAAAGCTGTGCTCCTTGTGCTCTGAGCTGTGACTGACCGGACGCTGCTGCCAGACCTTTATATTCCCCGGACTTTGTCCGCCCCCGCCTGCCTGGTCCAGCCGACACAGTAAACACTCCAGGGACCACAGCTGGGCAGGGTCTGTGGCTGCTTTCCTGGGGGAGAAGCTGGAGGGTGGTGCTCCTGGGGAAGCTGGGGCCCGGGAGAGCCTCTGAGACTCAGTAGTATCTTCCTCTGTGAAGTGGGGACATCATCCCAGGTTGGTGGGCTGATGGGAAGAATGATTTTCTTAAAAACAAACAAACAAAAGACCCACAACATTATTATGTGCTAAACTCCACAGCAAGAGCTTAAGAAGTGGCCTTCTTTCCTGATGGTGTTACCTCTCTTCCCTCTGGTTAGAACCAAAGGCCGAAGATATAAAAAAGCAAAGCAGCCCTAGCTGGTTCGGCTCAGTGGATAGAGCACCGGCCTGTGGACTGAAGAGTCCGGGTTCGATTCGGTCAAGGGCACATGCCTGGGTTTTGGGCTCAATCCCCAGCTGATCGGGTAGCCAATCAATGACTCTCATCATTGTGTTTCTATATCTCTCTCTCCCTCTCCCTTCCTCTCTGAAATTAAAAAAAAAAAATTTTTTTTTTAAAAAGAACGAAAAAGCAGAGGAGAAAGGGCCAGAAAGAGCCAAAAAGTGTTACCTGGGCAAGTCATTTCTCTCCATCACACCTTTGCTCATTTGGGAAATAAGGACAGAGACTTTTAATGGAGAGAAGGTTACACGATGTATAAAGGACACAGTAGGCATGTAGTAGGTGCTTCATATACTGGGTATTTTTGCAGCTACTCATCCTCATCTGGGAAACTCCTACTCATTCTTCAAAACCCTACTCTAAAAGCCCCTCCTCCATTCATTCCCGCAATCCAAGCCTGACCCCCCAGCACTGGCAGTGTTGACTCTGTCTGCCCCAGACGTGGGGGTTCCTGGAAGATTTGGGCAGGGATAAAGCCACTCTGGGCAACAGTTCATTGGCTGGCTCAGAGAGTAGGTGACAAGGAACTGGAGTGCTGCACTTTAGGGCAGGGAGTGCTGGTGTTAGCCAGCCACCAGATGGTGAAGGGGCAGAAGGTGCCCCAGGCACACCCTTCCTCCTGGGTCACCCAGAACTTCTGGCCCCAGGCACTGTGCCATGGAGAGGGTGGGCAGCAGTGTGAGACAGATGGTGGGATGTATAAAGTGTGATAGGAGTGTGCAGGCAAGAAGTACAAGGATCAGTGGGGGCCACACAGCCATGTTCCTACTGGGAGAACCGAGTTCAGCTCTCTCTCCCAGCACATCTCCCCCCCACCCCCCCACCCCCAGCTGTGC